GTATGGATATCTCTACCTAGTGCAACATATGTCGGAAGCCCTTGAAAAGTTTAAGGAGTACAAGACTGAAGTTGAGAACCAATTAGGTAAGATGATAAAGACACTTCGATCTGATCGGGGTGGAGAGTATATGGACTTAGATTCCAAGACTATATGATAGAACATGAAATTACATCCCAACTCTCAGCACTTGGTACACCTCAACAGAATGGTGTATCAGAAAGGAGAAATAGAACCATGTTAGACATGGTTAGATCTATGATGAGCTATGCTCAATTGCCTGCCTGATTTTCGGGTTATGGAATAGAGACTGCAGTATACATTTTGAACACAGTTTCATCAAAAAGTGTCTCTGAAACACCTTTTGAACTATGGAGGGGACGTAAATCTAGTTTACGTCACTTCAGAATTTGGGGATGTCCAGCACATGTGTTAGTGACAAACCCAAAGAAACTGGAATCTCGTTCAAAAGTGTGTCTATTCGTAGGTTACCCCAAAGAAATGAGAGATGGACTCTTCTTCGATCCACAAGAAAACAAAATGTTTGTATCGACAAACGCTACATTCCTGGAAGAAGACCACATTAGAGATCATGAACCACAAAGCAAGGTTGTGTTAAATGAGATTTCCGATGAAGCTACAAATACATCAACAAGAGTTGTTGATAAAGCTAGCACTTCAACAAGAGTTGGTGATGGCGCTAGTACATCACGTCAGTCACATCCATCTCAAGAGTTTAAAGTGTTTCAGCATAGTGGGAGGTTTGTGTCACAACCTCATCGTTACGTGAGTTTAACAGAAACCAAGATCGTCATACTTGATGATGGCGTTAAGGATCCATTGACATACAAAAAGGCAATGGAAGATGTTGATAAGGACAAACGGATCAAAGCTATGGACCTTGAAATGGAGTCTATGTACTTCAATTCTGTCTGGCACCTTGTAGATCAACCTGATGGGGTCAAACCTATAGGTTGTAAGTGGATCTACAAGAGAAAACGAGAAGGAAAGGTACAAACCTTTAAATCTAGACTCGTGGCAAAGGGTTACACCCAAAGGGAAGAGGTGGACTATGAGGAAACCTTCTCCCCGGTTGCCATGCTAAAGTCTATAAGAATACTCTTATCCATTGCCTCATTTTATGACTATGAAATTTGGCAAATGGATGTCAAGATTGCTTTTCTGAATGGCAATCTTGAATAGAGTATTTATATGTCTCAACCAGAGAAGTTCATTAAGCAAGGTTAAGAGCAAAAGGTTTGCAAGCTTAAACGATCTGTTTATAGATTAAAACAAGCATCTCGATCTTGGAATATAAGATTTGATACCACAATCAAGTCTTATGGTTTTGACCAAAATGTTGATGAGCCTTGTGTATACAAGAAGATCATCAACAACATTATAGCTTTCTTGGTGTTGTATGTGGATGATATCCTACTCATTGGGAATGATGTAGGTTTCCTAACTGACATTAACTAGTGGCTAGCAACTAAATTCCAAATGAAAGATTTGGGAGACGCTCAGTTTGTTCTTGGGATTCAAATCGTAAGGAATCGAAAGAACAAAACTCTAGCCCTGTCTCAGGCAACTTATATTGACAAAATGCTTGTCAGATATTTGATGCAGAATTCCAAGAAAGGTTTACTACCGTTTAGACATGTAATTTCTCTATCTAAGGAACATTGTTCTAAGACACCTCAAGAAGTTGAGGACATGAGACATATACCCTATGGTTCAGCAGTGGGCAGCCTGATGTATGCCATGTTATGTACTAGGCCTGACATTTGCCATGTAGTAGGGATTGTCAGTAGCTATCAATCAAATCCAGGATACGATCACTGGACCGCCGTGAAGGGTATACTCAAGTATCTTAGGAGAACAAGGAACTATATTCTTGTGTATGGCGCTAAGGATTTGATCCTTAGAGGATATACTGATTTTGATTTCCAAAGTGATAAGGATTCGAGGAAATGCACTTCGGGATCAGTGTTCTCTCTTAATGAAGGAGCTGTAGTATGGCGAAGCATCGAACAAGAATCCATCGTAGACTCCACAATGAAGGCCGAACATGTTGTCGCTTGTGAAGCAGCAAAAGAAGCATTGTGGCTTAGAAAGTTCTTAACTGATTTGGAAGTTGTTCCAAACATGACTTTCCCATCACACTTTATTGTGATAACAGTGATGCTATGGCCAATAGCTGTGACGTTTACAAAGGCTCATACGGCTAAAGTGTTAAAGGTTTGTCTAGAAGGTCTAGATCTACGAGATATGTACAACATAGTATAGGGCAAGTGGGAGACTTGTAAAGGGTATAATGTATGCCTTAGTTTATTGTATTTATACTTTATTGTACAACCCACTATTGCTTTTAGCTTCTGTAGATCCTACTATAGTTTAGTTCAAGTGGGAGTTGTTGGGTTTTATGCCCTAAACTCGTGGTTTGTAAACATAAAATAAATATTCATTCAATAAAGTTGTTATTGATAGATTTGCATTAACCCAAATCCAATAAACTAACATCTGAGGTTATGTCATGTAACTGGAACAGTATATAACAGATATACAGTATATATTTAATATACAGCGTATATATTTGATATACAGTGTATATATAGACAGTATATATTTGATATACAGGTGGATAATGTTCCAGTAGTAACTTAAAGGGTCTATCGTATATGGATAAGGTTGGGTACCTTATCCTGGTAACACTATGGATACGACCCATTTTGTAATAGTTACAAATGACTTGATCAAGGTCGTTCTGTGGAGACATGCGAGTGGGGGTATCCTATACAATAAGTTTGTATAAGATCGGACCACGAAATAATTAATTTTTAGCTGTAACACCGTTGGCTAATAGATTAATATTTCAATAGGATGACCAAGCAACTCGATTTCAATCCTGAGTGAGTTATGGACTCCTGCCTGTTAGAGCTCGTCCTTTGATTTGTATGGGTGAGAGTGGCTCTAGTCGCTAACTCAATATGCCTATCATTTTGGGGATGAGACCCAGTGGGGAGCTGGGAACATAACTACACAAGATGGAATTCACTCCTTCTCGACTTTAGGGTAAGTAAATAAGTATTCTCTTAAGTGCGGACTCGGAGACTTGAACAAGGGGTCCCACCCTCTCACTGACTCGAGAGGGACTTCCGACTATTGGTTGGACCATAACCGGGTTGTTCATTAGAGTATCAGCGGTACTTAAGGCATAAGATGTAACATAGGGGTAAAACGGTAATTTGACCCAACTGTGGTTACGAACACTCGTGAAGGATTAACCTACTGTTAATAGTCAAAATCTACAGACGCAAAATATTCTACAGTGAGAAGAGTGCAACTGTGGGTCTTTAGTGAAGTGACTAACAAATTTTGATTAATATGGTTAATTAGTTTAATCAATTAATCTCATATCGTTGGAGATTCCAATCTGTAGGTCCATTAGATCCCCTTGCTAGCTCGTAAAGGGTAGTTAAGAACAGTTAGTCTTGAAAAGAATTTGAATTGTTCAAATTAGTTAAATGAAATTAAAGTTAATTGTATGAGATGCAATTAATATAATGTATGTTGATACATTATAATATAAAGTTAATTTTGAATTTAATTCAAAATTACGAGAGAGATGAATATTAGAATTTGATTCTAATATAGTTGATTAATTTAAAATAATTTAATTAAATATGATTTAATTAAATTAACGTGATATATTAATTTGGTTAAATTAATTAGATTTAATTTAATTAAATTGATAATTCTTTTTTGTAATTAATTAAATTAGATTCAATTAATTATTATTCTAATTAAAATAAAAGAAAAAAAAGGACGAAGTGTGAGGAAAACCTCCCACTTCCCACCATTAATGGTGGAAAGTGGGGGAGGTTTGGCAGCCTTAGATGAACGAGGCTGAGCGATCTGCTGAAGCTGTGGGATGTAAAAATGCATCGGTAGGGGAACGTTTCACCTTAGAGGGAAGCATCCATGCGAGCGGTAGTGGACGAAGCGGAAGCGAGAATGTCGGCTTGAGTGGTGGGAAGTGGGAGAATGGTGAGTGGGGAAGTTGTGACTTGCCCACCACTCTTCCTCCCTTATAAAAAGGGAGGTTCTCCTCTTCCTTTCTCTTGGCTCCACTATTGTTGGGTTTCTGAAACTCCAAACGAGATATCTGTCTCTCGATCTCTCGATCTCCCTTTCAATTATATGACGGTTCCCACAAACCGAGTTCTTAAGATCTAGAGGATAGCAAGGAAGACTTTGTGGTAGTGTTGGTGTCTACATTGAAGAGATGTCTTCAAAGGTATGTATCACTAACTTCCCTTTATTCATGCTTATATGTCTTTCCTTTGTTGTAATTCTAAGACAAGATCGAAGCACATGCGTTCGCGCGCTTCTGGGATCCAATCCCTTCATTGTCAGCTCTTCTTTGTGGACATCTACCAAAGCTCTCCCCATTCCAATGAATGGTCTTCGAATAATAATAGGAATCTCCTTATCTGCATCATAATCCAAAATGATAAAGTCAGCAGGGAAAATAAATTTATCTACTTGTACCAAAACGTCTTTAATTTTTCCCTCTAGATGCGTAATGGATCGATCTGCCAACTATAAGGTCACTGTTGTGGGCCTTGCTTCCCCAATGCCCAACTTGTTGTAAATTGATAATGGTATGAGATTGATGCTGGCGCTCAGATCACATAAGGCAAGTCCTATCTGTTGTCCTCCAATTGAAACTGGTATGGTAAAACTTCTAGGATCTTTCATCTTTGCAAGAATTTTGCTCGTGAGTATGGTACTGCAAGCCTTAGTCATTGCTACCGTCTCATACTCTCCCAGCGTTCTCTTCTTTATGAGTATCTTTTTCAGGAATCTCACATAATTTGGCATTTGCTCTAGAGCTTCCACCAACGGTATGTTCACGTGCAGTTGCTTGAAGACGTCTAAGAACTTCTTAAATTGAACATTCTGCTCTTTCTTCTGCAACCGTTTAAGATATGGTAGCGCTAGCCTGTACTCTGCCAGAGCACTTTAATGCTCTGCCTGCTTTCTTTCTCGGGTATTATGTTCTGTGAAGACCCTGTCTCAGGTGCTCTAGCAATTACTGGATTAACTGATTGCTTGGATGTGTTTTGACCCTCCTTTGGTTGTTCAGCTATTTGCTCTGGTGGAATAGGTACGACTACTTCTGCTGGCTCACTGTCCTGTTCTGACTGAGGTTCTCCTTGGACAATTTGAGCAGGCTCTTTGGTCAATGTTGGAGCGTTCGGGTGTGTTGGAGGTAATGCTTTCCCACTTCGTAGAGTGAGGGCGTTGCATTGTTCCTTACTGTCTCTCTTTGGCACTTCTGTATCACTGGGCAATGCTCCAACCGGTCTGCTCTTCAAATCCATAGCTAACTGGCCTACTTGCAACTCTAGGTTCCTCAAAGATGCAGCCTGGCTTTGCACAGTGGCGTCATTATTGGCCATGTATTGCTTCATTATATTTTCTAATGATGTAATTGATCCTTTTGATTGATTATGTTCTACCATCTGTCCTTGATACGCAAAACCAGGAGGATAACTTACTTTCTGTTGAAAAGTTGGAGCATTGGATATTCCAGTGTTATGTCCTCCTTGATTGCCACTCCAACCAAAATTGGGGTGATTCCTCAAGCGAGGATTGTACGTATTTGAATACGAAGTATTTCTATTATTCTGCGGTTCCCAAAATAAAAAACTGACTCCGGATTTCCAGGGCAGTTGTTGTAATGGTGATCTCCCTTGCAGAAAGAACATGAAATCCCTTGAATTTGATTGACATTAGCCTTACCAACTAATGCTCCAGCTGAACTTTGTTGTGTCATACTCCTTATTACCAAGTCCGTCAGAATCTCAATCTTTGAATTCAATGTAGTGTATGATTCAGACTCAACTAGCTCCTTACTTGATTTTCCTTCAATAGCTCTATGATCAGACCATGAGTGATTGCTTGATGATATTCTTTCTAAAATATTGAGTGCTTTAGCATAGGGTTTTACTAGCAACGCCCCATTTGGGGATGCATCAATTACTAAGCGTGTGGCATTATCCAAACCTTTGTAATATGTCTCTATCTGTATGCTTCCTGGAATCCCATGGTAAGGACACCTTTGGAATAATCGTTTGCTGGGTAGGAAATACTTCATCAAAAACTTCTCAGTCAAGTCATCCCAACTTGTAATATATTCTGAAGAAAGGGACTCCAACCATGTTCTGGCTTCACCTCTAAGTGAATATGAAAATAGCTTAAGCCTCAACACTCCTTTGCTCAATCCTTCATCCTTGAATGAATTCCAAACTCCCATAAAGAACTTCAGATGCTGATGCGGGACCTCTGTAGCATGTCCATGAAACTGACCCACTATGTGGATCATCTGAAACATCACTGGTTTCAGCTCAAATTTGGAAGCTTCAATTTCTCGCTACATGATAACTAGGTTGAAATTGTAGAATGCCAGAGCTACATATGCTTTGATTTCCCTGTCGATGTCATCTGTTAAAAGTACAGCGTTGAGAGAGGGCACTACTACATCAGGATTCACAATGACAGGAACCTCATCTACTATTTCCTCTATCCTCACATTCGGTCTTATAGGTGCATTAGGCTAAGCTGGTTGGTTCAGTCTGTCCATGTTGGCTGCCACTTATTGTCCCCTCTGCTCTCATATATTTCTGGGGAAGGTACGCTCTATTTCGTGATCAATAATATATTCTAATCCTTCGTAATCGTTCATGCACCTCTCAAAAACACACAGCAAAGTACAAATGTGAAAATAAGACAAATCACTTCAGCACCGTATCTATAAATCTCATGTTAAAACAAAATCGCCGGCGACGGCGCCAAAAACTTGTCGCATCCACACAACTGTGTTGATAACACGTGCAAGTATAGACGAATCACCGATTGTAGTACGTAACGAGGTCGTATCCACCGGGATTTTTGGTTTATATTTTAACAATAAAGGTAGATACCAACAAATAAAAATATACAAAGTTTAGATATGGATATTATCTAGAAAATGAAATAAAATAAAGCAATAACAAAATGACAGGACTTGCAAAGGACGATGGTATTAAAGTTGTCAACACAAGAAAGCAGTAGCACAGAATGCGATAACGGGGAAATAACAGATATGAAGAAAGCGGGGGAGATTTAGCATGCTTTCACAAATTATCAACCTTTCTTTAGCGTAGCTAACATTTATTAGTGCCCAGTTCGACTCGGCACCCTTTCGAGATACCCCAAACATGAGTAAATACAACTCCCGTTGCTAGTTACCCAAGCAATAAACCCAAACTATAGGCATGATTAGGAGACCCCAATCCTGAGTATCCCTCTAGCGATAGAAAAGCGCTAACCACAAGCAAAACAAATCAGCACCTACAAGCCCTCCCGGATCAATACAGAAGCTAGCAACATGAAACAGCGGCCAACAGTAGCGAAGAAATAAACTCATAATTGCTTAAAAATAAATGTAGCAGCTAGAGGTTTGGTCTCAAGTCGGTTACAACATGTAAATCCCTCCTAAAATGGGGGTTTAGCTCATAATGGATAAAGAAAACAAAATGGAAGAAGAAAAAATACAACTCATAGCAGAAAAATAGCTAAATGACAGAGAATAAGAAGAAGTCAGCTCGTTTCAGCAGGCGAACTTCCCCTTTCAGGCGTCAGCTTTCCTCCCAAAAATGGGTATATTCCGTTCCTTGGTCTTTTCAGCTCTCAATTTTTGTCTTCCTTGGGATCTGCGTGTCTGTCGACTAAGGCAACATTCCCTTTAAATATTGGGTCCCGTTTTTAGGGCACCAGACTGAGGATTGTACGGACATAAGTGAATCGCGTATTTTTTAATTAACTGTATGGACACTCATGCTCTGGCATCGCTATGCTCCAGCTTTTATATGCTCTAACTTAAAAATGCTTTGACTTTTCTTCTCTGGTTCAGCACTTCCTTCTCTTCTTAGCTCTTCTTTAAAAACCTGTGCAAATGAACCACAAATACGAGAGTTTATGTTGTTTTTTGCCAAAGTTCTTAATACTAAGGATATTTAGCATAGAATTTGCAATTAAACACTATTCATGCTAGTTATGACCTAAAACCGACACACTTTGACATTTGAATGCACATTTTCACCCAAATAATCACCAGAATAACTCTTATTTGGAGAGTTATCATTAAACAACAAAACTCTTTGCCCTCGCTCAAATATCCTTTGTTTGATCTTTCTGTCATGTCACACCTTAGTCTTTTCCTTGTAGACTTTTTCGTTTTCAAATGCCTCCCTTCTGAATTTTCATCTAGTTTTAGGAGTTGTAATTTACTTGTTTCCCCTGCTGCTATCTTTAGCTGTTTGATGGCCCATAAGACTCATTGTTCCAACTCCAATGGTAAGTGACACGCCTTACCAAAAACTAACTTATAAAAGGACATTCCAATTAGAGTTTTGTAGGTTGTTCTGTATGCCCACTGCGCATCATCAAGCTTGAAGGACCAATCCCTTCTATTAATATTCACCATTTTTTCCAATATGCATTTTATTTCACGGTTTGACACCTCTGCTTGTCCATTTGTCTGAGGGTGATAAACAGTAGACACCCTATGTTTAACATTGTACTTCGCAAGTAGAGTGGCCATGGCCTTATTGACAAAATGTGTGCCTTCATCACTGATTAGTGCCCTTGGAGTCCCGAATCTAGTGAATATATTTCTATGCAGGAACTTAAGGACGGTCTTGGCATCGCAAGTCACATGTCATAGCTTCCACCCATTTGGATACGTAATCTACTACCAGGAGAATGTATAGATTACCATTTGATGGTACGAAAGGTCACATAAAGTCTATACCCCATACATCAAAGAGTTCAACCTCTATAATAAAGTTCAGGGGCATTTCAGACTTATTTGAAATATTTCCCACTCTTTGGCACCTATCGCAATTTTTCACATAAGAGTAAGCATCTTGAAAGATTGACGGCCAATAGTATCCACTTTGGAAAATTTTTGTTGTTGTCCTTGCCTTCCAAAATGGCACCATAAGGAGCAGGGTGGCAATGCTCTAGCACTATTCATGCTTCAGTACTGTCCACACATCTTCGTATAATCTGATCTTTACACAACTTATACAAGTATGGTCATCCCAATAATATTACTTGCTGTCATGGAGGAACCTTTTCAACTATTGCTTCTTCATTCCTAGAAGTAAGATTCTATTGGCTACATAATTAGCTAGATCTACAAACCATGGTTCTCCACTATTCCCTTTTTGCCTGTCACGGCCAGCAACTAATCATCAGGACATGAATCTCTAATGCGTATTGGGTCCTCCACTATTCCCTTGAGCTCCACTCTTGAGAGGTGGTCAACCACCTGATTTTCTGAGCCCTTTTTGTCTCTGATTTCCAGATTAAATTATTGTAAGAGCAGCACCCATCTGATCAGTCTTGGCTTGGCATCTTTTTTAGCTATCAAATACTTGATGGCAGTGTGGTTTGTGTATACTACTACCTTTGTTCCAACTAAGTAAGCCTTGAACTTCTCAAAGGCAAATATTGCTGTCAGGAGTTCCTTCTCAATGGTTGTATAGTTCAACTGAGCCTCTACCAAGGACTTATTGGCATAGTAAATAGGATGAATAAGTTTGCCCTTCCTTTGTCCCAACATAGCACCTATGCCATAATTGCTAGCATCACATGTGACTTCAAATGGCTAGTTCTAGTTTTGGTGCTGTCATGATAGGAGCCTTAATAAGCGCTTCTTTTAAAGTATCAAATGCCTGCAAGCAATCAGAAGAGAAGTCAAGCATTCTATCATTTTCTAAAAGAGAGCACAAAGGTTTAGAGATCTTAGAAAAATCCTTAATAAATCTCCTGTAGAAACCAACATGTCCGAAAAACTCTGGACTCCCTTGACTAATGTTGGTGGTGGCAGATTTTCTATCACTTCAATTTTGGCTTTGTCTACCTCTATCCCTTTCTTGGATACCTTGTGGCCTAACACTATACCTTCTTACACTATAAAGTGACATTTTTGCCAATTAAGAACCAGGTTAGTGTCCTCACACCTCTTCAACACCTTTTTCCAAATTTGTCAGGCATTCACTGAAATTCTTTCCGAACACTGAGAAATCATCCATGAAAACCTCAACTACTGTCTCAATTAAGTCTGAGAAGATTGTCATCATCTACCGCAAAAACGTTGCTTGAGCATTGCACAATCCAAAAGGCATCCTTCTGAATGCAAAAGTTCTATATGGGTAAGTGAAAGTGGTCTTCTGTTGTTCTTGTGGGGAAATGGTGATCTGATTGTACCCACTGTATCCATCCAAGAAACAGCAGTATTCTTCATCAGCCAGGCGATCTAGCATTTGATCTATAAATGGCAATGGGAAGTGATCATTCTTGGTTGTTTTGTTCAACTTTCGGTAGTTCATACATATGCGTCAGTCTGTGACTATCCTTGTTTGGATAAGTTCATTATTGTTGTTAGGCACTATCATGATCCCTCCCTTTTAAGTACGTATTTCTTCACTATTCGCCTGCTTGAACTCATTGTTTGTCCCATCCTTTCCACCATTGATTCGTACCCTTGCTGGTCGTTCACGTCTGAAATCTCGATTTTTGATGTAATTGTAATAAATTTGCTTTTTTTCGTCCCAGGAACGGCGGCTGGAACTTAAAGATTGACTCTATTTTCACTTCATTGGTTAGGCACACATTGCACTGGGCTAACCCAATCACTGTCAGCTATGGGGTAAATTATCCCAGCATCAAGCCACTTGATAATTTCTTTCTTAACCACTTCTTTCATGACAGGGTTGAGTCTTCTTTGATACTCAATTGAGTTCTTGTAACCATCTTCCAAGTTAATCTTATGCATACAGTAGCTTAGACTGATCCGTTTGATGTTTACAAGCGTCCAGCCAATAGCTTTCTTAGGGCTCCTCAATACTACTAACAATTGAGATTCGTTTTCTTCAGCCAAGCCAGCTGCGATGATAATTGGCAAAGTTCCAACATCGCCCAAGTAAGTACACTTCATATAGATGGGTAAGGTTTTCGAGTCCAGCTTGGAAGCTTCTTCCACTTATGGTTTCAACGGTTCTTGTTCTCTGTCTTCGAGTTCCAGTGATTGAAAAGCCCTCTTGAATCCTTTATCTACTTGTCGTTCACTTTCAACTAAGTAGATTAGCTTAGCTTCCTCTTCCTCAGCTTCCAAAATTGCGTTTAACTCTTCCTCCAACTGATCTAGCAATTCTTCTGTTTGTAATTCTCGCTTAGCAAATCATCTGCCAGCCTTAAATGAGAGCATTCATCCACATCAACAGGAAATTTAACATAATTAAAAACAGAAAATGTAACCTGTTGATTGTTTACTCTCATGGTCAA